CCGCGGTGCCGGGCTGCAGGGGCCCTGTGCCGGGCCTGCCTCCGTGCCTGCAGGCATCGCTGTTCTGCAGCCCCGTCACTGACAGCGGTGTTGTGCTCCTGGGCTCGTCACCGTGCACGTGCAGAGCAGGGTTTTCACTGAAGCCGTTTGTGTGGCGAGAGCAATGAAGTAGGTGGGTAGAGAGATTGTTCCTTAACACCCCAGGGGCTGATCGCCATCGGTGTTAAACGGTAGATGGGCAGTCAGGTTGGTGTGATGAAGGGTTCAGTAAAGCAAAGTGTCTCCACCTTTGTTGGTGTGAGGAATGTTCCCCAAACAGCAGTGTAGAGAGAACAGAGACTTCAGAGTTCATGCAGTTGTGGTGTGTTTGTCACTGGTGTACTTCAGCTTTACTATGTGTAATGAGTGAACATGAAGGAAAACTCCAGTGGGTGGACAAACACTGCTGCTTGCATCCCGGCAATCTCACACTAAGAACACCATAGGGTGTGACTGACGGGTGAAGTTTGATCCCGGACACATTTATGCCAACTATTTATGCTGCTTTTTGAAAAAAAAGAAGAAAATGCTGGTGCTTGTATGCTCAGTGCTCTCTGCTCAGGACTGCAGAAGAGAGATGGGGGTCTCAGTGTGTCCTGCATTTAGAGTTTAGTTTAACGTTGCTCTGCTCTAAGCATGCCGGCAGCATGCTGAGTCTGCTGCCTTATGTGATCCGTGCACAGATCTGCTTCCACGAGTCATCAAAAGAATGTGAAGAATCAAGCCAAGGAAGCGCGTGGGAGCCTGGAGTTCTGGTGGGGATGGGTAGCACAAAGCAGAACGAAATTATTCTGTGGAGACATTCTGAGAAACAATGGAGCCACCGAGGAGTGGGGTTTGGTGATGGGCAGAAACACTTCCCGCCAGGATTGCCTCTCCGGAGCTGTTCAAATTGGAAGCGAGCAGTCTTGAACAGCATCCAAATAACGTTATAAATACTCCCATGGGGTCCTTTGCAGAAAATTCCTTTGGTTTTGTGGAAGAGTGGATCCATTTCTATTGTCCAAACTCATACAAGATTGTCATCCCGAAATGATGTATGACTTTGGACAGCGGGGCAAGGGTCCCAATCTGATCAAAATCCTTTATGGAGCTGCACTGAATATTTCACTTAAATGTGGGGTGTCCTGTGACAGTACATTGCCATTGGATTGAGAAGATTGGCCTGCTTCTTGGAAATGCTAAATCACCACAATGAGAAGTGAGGGAGATGAAGTCTGCTTTCAAGAACTTGTAGTGCTTTCAAATTAAAATGGTTTAGCATCAGTTTAAGTTCTGTATAGGTTAATGTGGTTTTAGTATGCATTATCTACAATCTATAACTTAAACTGCCTTTGTATACCCATTGTGTATTGAGGTTGAACATTAATAAGGGATTGAACAGGGAGGAAGTGAGTTTGCAAGGCAGATTAGGCCAAGTGAGCTGGGAATATATGAGTAGCTATTGAACCAAAACAAGACTTGTGTTTCTTTCAAAAGCAGATATGTTTTGATTTAACATCATTCCTGTTTTATTCCCGTTATAATGCATCAAAGCAAATACTTGTAACAGGCTTTACTAGTGTGGTCTTCAGGGAAATGCATTGTCTCTGTATTGGTTTAGAAATAAACCTGAGCATCTTGTACTTTGTAGCCTACACTTAACCGATTCAGGATTTGATCATTGAAGACCTGCAGTGTTCTCTGGGTTTGCTGTTGGACAACAGTGCTGTTTTGTCGTGTTTCAGTGTGTAGTTGGCAGCAGTTACCAAGCAACTGCCAAACAGAGGTGTTTCAAGCTCTTACATGGCTTTCTGTAGTACCAGTGCTTTAAAGCAGCCTTCTCCCGAGTTTTACCAGTGGCTTGGCTTCTGTTCTGATCTTGTTATGTGTAACTCCATTGAATTTAATTTATTCTGCAAATTGGAAGAGTGTTTTATTCCCTTTGCTCTTGTGGTGCCTCATTTTTGTTTAATTGTACTCTGGTGTACTTCAGTTTAAGAGCAGTCGTTCCTATTATTACTTTTATGACTGTTAAATACTTCATTGCTTTTAAAATATTACTGTTTCTATTTCTGTTACAGATCAGCTAAACCAAGGTCTAATTTTTCTTTGCTGGCTAGATACAGAGAAAGGGTTTTAGTAGAAGATGAAACTTTATTAGACAAAGAAACTAAAGCTAAATGTGTTAATTGAGCATGTAAAAAATCGAGGCATTTCTGTCAGCTTTTGTCCACTCCCAAGGATCATTCTGATAAATCACAGTGTTCCAGTTAACATCCAGGTTTGGTTGTCTGGGAGGCAGACTTCTGTCACTTGGAGTGCAGAAGTGTACTCAGGGGGAAAATACAGTCTTACAATTATGGGAATTATGGGAATTGGTGTGTGTGTGAAAGGAGAGTAGAAGTCACAGTTATTTTCCGTTCTATTTTGTCACATAATGAAGATCACACCTTTTGGAAGCGGCACTTTAGGTATGTAAAGATGTCACAAAGAAAGTGATCTGGCTTTAAACCCTCTTGCTTCTTCTGACAAGCGTTACTCCACCATAAGTCATAGTCTGTAGAAGACAAATATGCATAACTTGGTTTTAATTTAGACTTTAGGAAGTCTATTTTTAGCTAAGTGGTTGGAAGTTTCTGTAATTTATGTTTAAACCCATCTTATTCCACAAGCAAATACATTTACAGCACCTGCTTACAAACATGTGTATAACATTCATACCAAGAAAAGTATTTTTACAAAACCAGCTCTGGAAATTGAAAACCTAAATATAAATGTCACCATCAACTACATTTTTTCACTCTGTTTTAAGGGGTATCATAGATGATGCTTCCTGTAAGAGAAATCATTGTCCCAAATAGCTATTGCTTCTTTTGTCCGGTTTTGTGCTTCCTTAATGTTAGAAAAGTAGTTGGAGATACTCAAAATGATCTTAGGGTATTGTATGTCCAAAACATAGGACCTTAGTGCACTTAGCTGTAGTAGTTCTTGTAGCAGTCTTTACCCAAGTGGGTGCTTCTTAGAAGCCAAGTGAGCTTAACTATAGAGAAAAGGTTTGTCATTACCCAACAGCTTAGAGCTAACCAAAGAACTTTGAAGAATTATAGGTGGAATGAGTGTATTGTACATTTTCAGGTTTGACTCAGCCTTTACTTTCTTTTCGGCAGGAATGCTGTAGATAAAGGTAAGGGTGGAAACGCTGCTGTAGTAATTGAGAGGAATTTATGAGGAGTCTTTCTGCTCCGTGCTCAAGCAGCTACAGCCCTTCGCACTAGAATTGGCCCCAGGGTGGTGATTAATAAAAAGATTTGTTGAGCACCTTCCATTAAATATATGGGCAGTGTTGAAAGAGGATTCAGTTAAGGCAGTTGGTTTTAATAAGAAACAGGAATAATAAAGGTACTGCTAGTATTTTCCGCTACCTGTGGTTAGTCTGAAATACTCCATCTGTTTTCTGTATCTGCAGATTTAAGCACCTGTAAGGAATTCCACAAGTAATGTGGTAGTTCTGGGGCCAGGATTTGTATAAGGTGTTGAGCTTACACTAAAAAAAACAGCACAGAACACTTCAACATTTTTTTTAACACACCATTATTTTCTGACACATACCTCCACCATTTCACCTCCTTTAATTTCTTGCTCATGATGGAATTTGTCTGACTTGCACACGAGCTTCCCATTTACCATGTTCACAGTGCACTGTTGAAGCAGATTTAAAAGTTGTAAAACATTTAGAGTTTGGAGCTTGGTTAGAATAAGCAGATGACTGTAGGAAATAAACGATGTCAGTGTTTCATAATCACATCTGTGAAGTTCCAACTGCAGACCACAGCATTTGAACAGGAGTTTTAGAAGAAACACTTTTGTTGAAATGATAGAACTGTGCACTAACAGAAGTGGTACAAGCAAGTCTCACTCAGACACAGAAACTGAAGTATAAGGATGAACGAATTGATGCAGCCATTCCTGAAATGCAGTACCTTTAGCTTTCTGCCATCCATGGTAGTAATATCAGCCTCTTTTCCAAGTGTAAACGAGTTAGTTACAGATTGCTTGGGTGTCTTTGATGTCACAACAAAATCCTCTCCTTTTTGTTGTATTTCAACAACAGGTTTAATATCTCTGGCAAGTTTGATAAGGTCATCTGGCAATGCTGTAAAAAAGGCAAAAAAGGACTTTCTCTGTTATGAAGAAGTGTGTTGATGTGAAAGAGCAAATTTGTTTTTCCAAAGAGAAAAGAAATAGAAAGTGAAGTCCAGGTTAAAAGGCCAATCCTGGTTTGAATTCCTCACTTCTCTGGGGGCATGTTGTTCCATTCTGTCCAGCCCGTGTAGATTAGATTTGCTACTCTTGCGTCAGAGTGTGCATTGTTCTGTTCAATAGTGGTTTGCCATGTGATGGTGTTTCTCCATGACAAAAACCATGTGTGTATTGTTTTGTTTCCCTCACCTCGTCCCAGGAGGACTGGAGGTGCTAGTGTGTGGCTAGTCAGAGCTGCAGCAGCGCATGTAGCCTCAGACTACTGTATCAGAGCGTCTCTGGCATGTTGTGAGAGTATCACCCTTAGCAACAGAGGGACTGGTTCAGGCGTTGTACTGTCAGGGTAGGCTTGTCAACTGTAACTGCATCTTATTCTGCTGAGTAGCTCTTGCATACTCTTAAAACCCCTTAAACTCTTAATACTCTTAAAAACAAATAAAACGTGTTTTGCCAAGATTGTCAAGAGGATAAGTGCATTTTTATTAATGTAGACACCTACTAAATCATAACCACCGAGTCTGTTCCTTACAGATCACTAAGCACCAGTCACATACATTAATCACTCATGCATCTGTAGGTCATTGACAGTTTGTTTCTAGTTAAATGTATTTCTAAAGTTATGTGTTAATCAAAACAAGTTGATTTCTGTTATGCCTCTTCTTTCATGAGGGACTCATGTAATGTTGAGAAAGGGATTTGGGGGTTATCTCTAACCTTTCTACGCTGATTTGTATGATATTCAGTTTCTTTTTTTTACAAATTAGGCCCGACAGCCTCGCCGGGCAGGGAGTAGTTTGTCATCCAAACAAAAGAAAGAAAACAGAAATGCAGTGATGGTAGATGCCATGCAAAGTGTGTGCTGCAGTCCGAGGAAGGGATTTCAGAAGTAACCAGACACTTACCAAGAGCTTTCAGAAACTCTTCGTAGTTTTCTTGAGCATAGACCTGCCAGGTTCCATTGAATGCCATTATGGATGTATGACACAGCTTGGGGTGGTGGTGCTGGCAGGAAAGTGAGGGCTCTCCCTGGTCATCCAGATGCTATTTATGGAAAGGGATCACAAGCCCAAATTGTGAGATGACTGGTGAATTATTAACCGTGGAGGAACAATTATTAATCATTTATTTGTTTCTAATGAGCATAACCTCTAGTTCATGACCGGCTGGCTTGGGATGGTTTGTTTATTGTGGGTTACTGAACCCGGGTATTCATAATTGTTGTAAAGTGTTTCATAGATTAATTTGTTTTTGTTCTGTTCAATGCTTAATACATTTTCTGTGGTGTGGATAGAATTCCTCAGGTAAAATGGCATCCTTTGCAATGGATGTAAGGTAATTACTGTCTTACAGCAGGAACTTCGTAATTATCTCAACTTCTGCTATGGGCACTTGAACCTTAAATGGAGGGAATAAAATCTGCAGCTATTCCTTCCAGAAATGTGGGCCTGCAGTTCCATGAAGATGAGGAAAGTGGTGTTGGAGTGGGACAGTCAGTTACGAGTTTAGCCAGCAGGTGTCAGTGATGTACATCTAAATCTGATTTAATTCAGTTTATTATTGCTTGTTCTAATAATCATGGCATGCATAGAGGATTAAAGGTAAAATAAAAGGTGGACCATTGCTCGGAGGCTGAGCTGAGAGAAGTAAACAGGATGTATTATTTCTCTTCTCACCAATCGCACCACGAATTCCTCACTCACTGGAGCTGTTGAGTGATATTCCTCACTGTCTGGGCAAGCGTGACTGTTGATTTTGGAAGACATTCATTAGATTTTGTGCCTTACAGTTATATTGCTTAATTCAAATAGAGTCTGTATCCTAGGGGTAGGTGACCTTTCGAAGTTAACTTTTATTACTCCATACCGGTCAGCAATTCTTCTATTTAAATAGAAAACCAATGCTGAACGTACAAATTCACAACAACTTCTTTTTTTTTTTTTTTTTACTATGTAAACTTGAAGAAAATTCACAACAAAGAGCCAATTCCATAATTACATTCCCATATGGTAATCCCCGAGTAGCAAGAATGAAATGATGATAATGGACAAAGCTGTATTTTTGAGGGGGAAGGGAAGGTGTTTAACACACATGGGTTTTAGAAGTGCATGTTTATTTTGGAGTTACTCTAGGACACAGTTCACCTGGTTTTCCACAGTGATGTTACTGACAGAAGGGCCTGCTTTTCTTTCTCATTCTTAAAGTAAATCTGTGCAATTAGCTAAACTTACTTTTTAGTATTATTACATTTAATAATTAAATGATATACTTTTAATCTAAAGAAATGTGTGAAATGTAACTGCCTTTGTTCACATGATTGGTAACCCCATAGAGGACTGCTGGGCTCATTTACATTGATACTGGGACAGCAGCATCCCTCAAGTAACCAGGAAAAATACTGCTGCTGTGAGGACAATTTATACTAGTTTGTGGAGCAAGGTAAGGTGCTGTTTTGCTGAATCAATCTGCTTAGCCTAATGGCTGTATCAGGAATGCAGTCACTTACCACTCACTGACAGGGTTTTACAGGTGGGGCTAGGAGTGTAGCTGTGGCTTCAGAGCAGTTGAGAGGCCACACTTTATTCCACATCCAGAATAATCTAATGTAAGAGTGTATATGTGGGAGCTGAATGTATTCCTCTGGAAAGAACCAAGCGTGTCCCTGCCTTGTGTTCTTCTCGGGGCTTAAGTTTGTAAAGGGGCATGCTTTAAGGCGTGGATTCAGCAGTGCACTTGAGAAAACTCCTTTCTTCCCATACACACATGGACTGACTGATTTGAGGATGGATGTACTGGACAGCAGTGCTGAGGTGTCACCAAGGGTATAGGTTTAATAACACACACACAAGCATTTGTCAGCTACAAGGTAATCAGTAACACATAGTGATTTAGTACAAAAAGCCTCCACCGAACACCTGGTTCTAGTATGTGAACCCTCTGGTACTGCCCAAACAGGTTTACTAGGGAAGAGTTTCTCTGTAAGCTGAGCATCCATGTGTACACAGACACGTGTGTGCACTCTCACACAAACACACGAGAATTGTTCTCTAACAACTACCAAAATACTACAGTATTACTAGAATAAATGAGCCTGAATTTCAGGGCAGAGATACTGAAAGGAATCTGAGGGATTTAAATTTAAATGAATTTAAATTCCTTTAAAATTCATAATTGTCTAATTCATTTAGGCTTTTTTGTGACAACCCCACCTGTGATTTCCATTTCTTCCATCCCTATTGGTATCTCTCCATGCTTATAGACACTGATAGTAACCTGCCCTATTTCGGAGCCGTACTTATTCTTGACATAGATGCTGTATTTTCCTGTGTCTTCATTGCAGACTTTCTCGATGGTAATTGTGACAACTGTCCCCTTCACATCCATTTTGTAGCGATCTTTGAAGACAATCACCTTCTCGTTTTTGAACCAAGTGATTTCTGGGTGGGGATCTCCAGATACACAGCAAGTTAAACACAGGGTCTATTGTAAAAACAGCAGAAATAGATTATGAAGACAGAAATGAGCAAGGAAATTCAGTTAATGAGAAATTAAGAAAAATAAAGATCAAGTCTCTTGGATTTTCAGTAGGTGAGATTCCGGGACTGTCCACTCCTTTTCTTGATATCCTCCAGTCTAATCAGGATTAACCTGTTTGAATTCCCTGGGCCTGACTCATATTTGTGCTCCTGTCCTTATATAGCTTTCTTACGCTGTACAGTGACGCTGAGCTGTGAAGTTGACACTTAGGCACATGGTGGCTCAGAATTGTCAGCAGCAAGTTGCTATGTGACAGATGGGAAAATCCGGTCCCGCATTTAAAAGGCCTTGGTCTAATTCTGTACAATGGGAAGACAACAGAAAAGATCTGGCAGTGAAACAGACCTAGTGTCGTGGTTTAAACCCTAGCCAGACAGCTTGTTGGCATCAGGGTACACTGTGCGCCAGTATCTACTAGAGCCTTATACTTCTGTAGACACCTAGTAAGCAGTGACACCCAGAATTTGTGAGAAAGAGGTCCTGTGCCACAAAGAGCACCTGTATGTGCAGAAGCATGTGCGTGTTTGGAAGTACCATTGGCAATACAGGGGCTGACCCAAGTATTGTGGAGGTACCACTCTCCACTGCCAGCAGCTGCTGTGAGCCCATGGGAGGGGAAAACAAGTAGTTCTCTCCCCGTCAGTTATTCTTCTGTGCCTGTGCAGGGGCCAGTTGTATGAGCAGTTGCCCAATATTACCTTGTCCTCCATGATAGTGGCAACATCTGGCAGACCTTGAACAACCCTGGCACGACCTGGGAATGAACAAATACGACCTTTTACTTGTCAGCATACCCCTTGGCTTTGCTTCACAGGGGAAAGGAAATGAATTTACTTACGCTTTTCTGCTATTGCGGCTTCCCTGAAAGTGAGAGACAAAATTGTAGGGGTTTCATTTATTAGACATTATATTCTCAATACAAAATATGACACTCAAAATAGATTTAGCTGTGAAAATATTTAGGCAGGAACTTACTTCAGCCTTTTGTGCTCAGCCAGGGCGTCTTCAAAAGCTGCAAGGAATGAAAGATTTTAGGGAAAGTTGCCATTTGTTTCATTTGACTTAGGACTTAGTGGATTTAATATAATGCATCAGTGTTGGAATTACAGGTATTTGTGCACACAGATACGTGTAATTATCATCTAGACAGTATCTGTATCTGCCCTAAGGAAATATGACTGTATATACTACTGAAATAAGTGGGATTGGGTACTTCCTTTCCAAAGACAAGTTCAGAGGAGGAAAAACCTCAACTTTGAGCAGTTTGGAGACACCTTTATGAGCCTGAAGCCACACGCTCTTTTCCAAGATGCCACCCGTGTGTTGTGCCACCCGTTGGCCTGTGGAGGACTTGGACACATCCAGGAGCAGCTGCTCCCCCACTCATCCTATACCTGGGAATGCCTCACGCTATGGCAGCAAGGCTCCCAAAAGGCTGCGCTTCTGCTCATTCCTGCTGCACACTTCTCTGCTCCCCGTGCTTGCTCTGACTTCTGTGGGCCCTTCATCGTCCTTAACCCAGTTTCAGAGTGTGCTGGTGTGGAGCTCCAGCTCACATATGGAGCTGCCCATGATGTGAAGGGATCTTGGCAGGCAGCTCAGGTGAACCTCATTCCTGTGGCAGTGTTCTGTGACTCCCCTTACCTTGTCCAGACAAGTCAGTTGACAGTTTGTGGGAGCTGTTCCCATCAAATAACTCCAGGGTGTATTTTCCCTTATCTGCGTCTGTAGGGTCCAGTATGTGAAGCCAGACCTGGTTCATGGTGCTCCCAGCTTTCAGCCTGTCACGGCTTTCCAGTTGTTTCTCCCTAGGTAAACAAGTGATATAATTTCAGTACGTATTGAGCAGAGCTGTATGAATTAGAGCACTAACTGGGTTTAGAGCTGTTCTGGTTAGAGTAGGAGTGGGAGTCAGGATCTCAGGGTTAATTTCATGGAGAGTTACGTACTCAGTCACTTTTTAAAACCTCCTGGGGCACCTAGCTCTGCTTTTGGGCACTTTGCCAGAGCTCTGCAAACTCTACAAAAGACCTCTTAGTTCTGATTTAGGAGATTAAATAGGATTAAATGTTGAGTATTTGTAAGCGTTTAGCCATTAAACATTACTAAAAATTGGCTTCCTTATATACATGTGTAGGTGGTGTCTAATAAAACACCACTTCTCTATGAAGACATCATGAGGCTAAATTAGTGTTTGAAAAAAGTTTTACAATGCTTGGGAATATTTGTTACACAGACTGGTTTTGGGAAGTGCAAAGCAGTAGAAATAAAGAAGTTGAAACAAACCAACTCCTTTTCCTGTCTGTACCTAAGGTGGCTGTAAGCGAGCAGTTTTGCATCGTAATGCATCATTATTATTCTAGGAAAGCTGATCACTTCTGCAATGCTAAGATAAAAATAACATGACTGCTTAGTTTGGATTTCTCAGATGTGTTTCAGGGTACAGAGCGAATTACGATTTTTAGCCCTTGCTCAGGCAGATCTACCATTGCCTTCAGGTATGGGCTCAGGCCCAGCGT